AATGGTCTGATAAGTTCGGATGCAGGGATGAAGTTTAGATGACACATTTTTTTTATGGGAATTAGACTAAAACAGTCCTTATCCCAAATTCCCTGGACCTACCATGTCTACTTCTCACTTTCCAATCAAAACCTCAGTTCTATATTCTAGTTTCCACTCCTTGAAACTACTTTCTCTGAATTTTCTTCTGACTGAAACATGGTGGAAGTATTTTGGATCTTGTTCTTGTATAAAAATACTGGACAAGTCTCACTCTTTGTACTCTTGCTTTACGATTTTGGTTGCTGACCTTGCCCAACCAAATTCTCAAGAGCCCTCCTCAATCCCCTCTCCACACACTGTACCCTCCTTGTTAGTGTTCCTCATACTCTACCTCCTCCTCATATTATCTCACTTACATCTGCTCTGAGAAACAGGGGGGCAAAGTTCCACCTCTGAGTCTGAGGGGAAAGATCTCGAGAGAAGTGAGGAAGTTAGAGCCAGTAAAGGAGAGGACTAGGGCGGTGGTTATTATTGGGTAGAGAGGGCTAAGGGCACCAGTATGCCTGGTGAGCTTGGTATACATCTATACTAAGCCTCCTGTTAATTGTCCTCCTCACACGGACTCAGCTGTCCAGGTATAGGCACAGATTAAATGGATCTCTGGGTTTGTCAGTATGCTTGCCAGAGGGCAAAGGAATTACTGAAATGACTGGACCACGAAGTTCAAGCATGAGGACAGGCAGAAGTTTAGAATGGACCTAGGCTGGAGGTGCTCACCTTCTGTGTCTTCTGCCATAATTACTCCCTGCTTTCCACTACTTCTAGACCTTGGGAAGACTTCTATCATAACACCATCACTTGCTGTAATTATCTGTTGAAAAGTCTGTTCCCTTCACTATCCTGTACTTTGTGGCTCCAGCACTAGCTTGGAACAGAACTGACAGATGTTGAGAACTTGGTTCAGCATCTCAAGATTGGTAAGAAGGGAGCTTAGTTCCCAATATTTTGTATTTGCTTTTTTAGATGCAAGATTTTTGTTTTGTTTGGTTTTGGTTTTTTTTGAGAGAGAGTTTTGCTTAGGGTATGTGGGCTTGCTAGAGACATAGAAACAGAGAGAGAGTGAGCAAATGAGAAATCACCCCACAGGAGGGATGGCAACAGCACAATCCCTTCTCCATTCTTCTCTTAGGATTGTGGGCATGTATGCATATTGCCTCCTGTGAGTTTCAAGCTTCTAGGTCTAGGATTTAAACCACTGTCGACCATGTGGGAGTCCAGCACCTTAACCACTAGGTCACCCCTGGCCTCAAACTATGGTATTTTTAAAATGTTAATGAAATTTTACATTGTTCTAAATTTAATGAATACTAGAAAAAAACAAAGTCCTTTTAGTAGGTTTGAATAAATTAAAGTTATTTAAAATGGGGCAATGCAAGTTTCATATAAAATTAATCAAAATGAAAATAAACACAGCTTCTAGGGTATTAAAGAAGCTTTAACAAATGTTCTTTCATTAATGAAATATCTGAAAAACTCTTTGATTGTCAGCTCCTAAAGGGCAGGAAGTATGTTTACTGAATTAATCTTATTTATGTATGACCCAGCACTATGTTTTATAAGGATATAGCGTATTGTTCTTGAGTAAATGCAGTAACAATTGTTTCATTTTTACAGTTTTAAAGCCCTAATTTTGGGGTTAGCTTCTCATTATCATGCTGCCATTTGATAAAAAGGAAAAGATACACTACTTTGTAAGATGAGCTCAGGATTAATTTTCCTTCTCCAAAAAAGGTCTTTTCAGCGATTCACAAACTATACCTTACAACAAAAAGCATATGTTTTAAACATGGCTTCAAAATATTTAATGCTTATTTTATTTCAATATTGTAAATTTCAAATTGAAATCGAAAAGGGCATTTGTGAATTGAGTCATGACGTCAAATGCTGTAGGAACCTGTAAGGTTTGACTGTCTCCAATATATTAAATTAAATGCTAACAGGTATATCCATACAACCTGATTTTCTGAACTGTTCTCTGCTTGTCACACTTTGAAAACTATGAATATATTTCAAGATGCCTTTACCCAAAAATGGACAGAAAATAGAGGGTGGGGAAGGGCAGGGTGTGAACCTGCAATGAAATATGGAGTTTCTAAGGAAAGATTCATTTTGTATTCTCTGGAACAGAACTAAGCCCTAAAATGCACATTCTATAACCCACACTACCTCTACCTCAGACAAAATTTGTAAAATATCAGAAGGATGCAAATGATTCAATCTCTCGTCTGTTAAACTGGAAATACTTGATTATTTGGGAAAAAATAAGGAATAGCCTTAGATATTTTCACCTGCACCGACAGATTAGGTTAACACTTCTAAACCCATGATAGGCTGGGTAATATACACACCTGACTTTTTGTTATGGGGTCCACTAGCAAATCTAGTCACCTCTCCCAATTGTGTTAGATTCACAATTGATTTATTATAAGCTGGGCCTGATACTGGAAGTATCGGAAAAGTCACCAATGATTTCCTGTTCTTTCCAATTAAAGGCAGTGTACTGAACACAGGAAAGTGAGCTTCTCAAGTACACAGTAGGGAGAAACAAACCTGAGAAAATTGTGATTGTTTTCATTAAGTATGGTTAAAACAGGCAGCATACATTAGTGCAAAAGAACAAGGAAAATGTATTTCCTTTCACAGTAGGATAAAAATAAACTGAGAGAGCAGTAAGATCTGTAATACGCTGATAGTAAAATGGAAAAGGAGACATATAGACCCATATTGAAAAGGAAGTCAGCTTGATATCAAGATGACAGATCTATCCAGTCTAAGATGAACTTCAGAGCTTTCTTGAAGCCTCATTGAAAAAGGTATTAGGTTGTCATATTTTTAAGACAATGTAAGAAATTCCAGCATTTTTTAAAAGCTAGTTTTATGGCCAGAAACAAGGAATATTTATTAAAATATTTATGAGAAACTCATACAAAATCTAGGAAATACGAAGCAAAATTTAGTACGTTAACAATTAAAGCTAAATGAGTTGGTAAAAATGTAAATAAGGAGAAAACATACATGGCATTGGTTTCATACATCTAATACTGTTTTGTTACCCCAAACAAATACAGATTTGTCTTTCTATTAGCAAAGACTTATTTGAAACCTAGTTTGAAGTTTCTTTAGCAAGGCTAACAAGATCTAGTCTTGGTAGTTATTTTCTTTTCAATTTGCTAGAGAGTGTGTATACTTGCAGGAGAGAGAGAGAGAAGGAAAGCAAGAAAGCACCCCTCATGGCGAATGGTCACACAACAATCCCTTTTCCTCCACTTCTCCCTCCCTTCAGGATTTCGGGCATGTGTGCACATATATATAGTGTATTTCTCAAGCAGCCGGATCTAGGACTCAAACCACAAAATGGGCTATGTGGGATTCTGCCACCTTAACCACCATGCTACCAATTGGCTCAGGTATTTTTTAAACCACTGAAATGTATATATATATATTTTTAAAAAAGGGTAAGTCACTAGATGAGGATTTTATTTAAATATATCTACATATACTAACATACAATAATGTTTCTTTAGTATATAGAACCAGTAATTGGGTCCAAACCTCATATTCTTTTCCCTAGTCCTAGTCTTTATCCACTAAATTATTGAGCACTTAAATGTTGAAGGAAGCTAGGTATCATTCATGGAAATCAGTGAGTTTTTGCTAACAATCGAGGCAACACTCAGAGAAGCTGAGACTGTGAGTGTCTGCCTGGCATTAAGGGAAGCAGAAAGAAAAATAGTTGGGAGTTCAAACTACTTAACTTAAATGCAAAAGAGAATTTTTTCAGAACAGGTGTTAATAAACTAGAGATGATTATTGAGGAAAGCTGTGAATCTTTTGTAGTATAAAAAAATGAGTATTTATTCTAAGTACAAATATCAAAGTTACTTTTCATTTTGAAATTACTTGATCTCCCTATTTCTTCTTTGTCCTTGATGATGTAGAAATCCAGCAAGTTCCATATGGGTTACAATGGGTTTCCTCTGACTGAGAGAAGATGCATCTTTCTCCCAATAGGCAAGTCTTTCAAGGAGAACATTTCCAGTCTCATTAAATTTAATAGGATTTAAAACAGAATTTGAAAATGGGATGTTGATAACATAGACCTCATAGACTCCTTCCATCAAGCAGAAAGACAGTCAGGAGGAATTTGAAGGTATATGTGAGTGTGCATGAAACAAGATTGGCAATATTATCCATGGAACAAGTGGATAACTGTGGGAGCTATGTTATGAATCTGTGGGGTTCATTTACTAGTCTCTGTTGTCTTACAACTAAGAGGTTAGATAGATAAACAAACAAACAAAAATAGGACTCAAACTGTATGCCCAAATAATGAGTAAGGATGAGAGATTAAATAGGAGTGAAAGGTTAAGGTGGCATGAATAACTACCATGCTTCACAGATAGTATAGAAACTTTGTTTTAGTAACTTAAATCCCATCTTTCAATGCATATATATACTACTACTACTACTCACACACACACACACACACACACACACACACACACACACACACACACATATATATATATATATGTAGGAAAATGAATTAATTAGGCTTTTACTTTTCTTGCCTCATCTTTGATGAAATGGCTCCTTATGGGGCAGCCAATGGTGAAAGAAAAAGCAAAGAACTTAGATACACCACAAGCTCTATGATCTAACCCATGAATAATCAACAGCTAACAATCTAAAAGATAGAAGGTTTAGTCAATAAACATATGTGAAGGACCAGGAATTCCAATCTTGAATTTACTCCCCTAATCACTCAGAAACTCACAAAAAGGTCAATTACTTCCAATTATGTTGTTCTCTATAGAGTAGGTGCTCAATAAATTAATGTTAATTGGCTAAAATGGCATCCCTCGCTCAACCTTTCAGTACACTGCCACTACCAAAGCTTGATTTTTAAGTTTATGCCACAACATTTTTCTGAAAATCCAACATCTGAGGCATATTACCTGATATCCAAAGAAGACCATCAGCCACATATCCAGCATGACATGAGAGGGACCGGTCAAAAGACTGCACGAAAGTCCACTTGTTCTTTTTCGGGCAGTATCGCTCCACTGTAGGCAGAACCTGGCGCAGTTCATTTCTGCCCCCAACTGCATAGAGATACTCATCCATGGCACCCAGCACGAAATGCTCTCGACAGTTTTTCATGGATGCTATCTCTGCCCAGGAGTTACTGCGAGGGTCATAGCGACAGGCAGTCCTCACGGCGCACGTCCGGCCACTGGCATGCTCAACTTCCCCTCCTGCTACAAAAAGGAAGTCACCCATGACTGCCACACAATGGTGGCTCCTTCCCACAGGCATGGGAGCCAGCTCACTCCAGTTGGCAATGGCGGCTATGAGAGCATTCTCCTGATCAACAGGATTGAAGTAACGTAGTTCCTTGACTTTGCAGACCTCTCGCTTTTTCCCACCAATGATATACAGAGTGTCTGACTGGAACCGTGGTTTGGTCCTGCGAGTCTGCCAGACAGGTTGTGCATAGATGCTCTGGTGGTATTCCAGGGCCTCATTAACAAGGGCTGTTGCGGTCTCACTTGCTTGGACAAGGGGGTGGGAGAGAGCAACCGTATGGAGAGTATCCACATCCATTAGGCCGAAACGGATGTACTGCAGGAGCTCATCCATGTACTGGTAATGGCAGCTGTGTTCCAACCACCTCACGGCTAGCTGAAACAGAGGGCAAGAGATAAGAGGGAAATACAAAAGTAAGATGGAAAGAGCAGAAGCATGACATAGAGGCAGGTCATCACGCATTCTTTCAGACACTTGATATAGGCTGGATACCCCTTGTCTGAAATGCTTGAGGCAAGAAATGTTTCAGATTTTGGATTTGTTTTTTGATTTTGTAATTTTTTCATATAAGTAATGAGATTTGGGTGGGATGAGACCTAAATGTAAACACAAAATTCATTAATGTTTCATATATACCTTATACACGCAACCTGAAGTAGTTTTATACGGTATTTTTATATTGCAGAGTTTTGACTGTGACCCATCACATAAAGTCAGATGTGGAATTTTCCATTTGTGGCATCATGTTGGTACTAAAAATGTTTCAGGTTCTGGAGCATTCCAAATTTCAGATTTTCAGATTAGGGATGCTCAATGTGTAATACAATTCTTGTTACAAATGGGGTAACATTGGAATATGTTAACACCTAAGTAAGATCTATTTTACCCCTGTATTACCAGAGATGCAAAAGACATTCTTGTAAGGATTGGAAACAATGTTAAGCAACACTGATGGGGGCTTAGGATATCATTTGGGGGTAAACAATAACTGTTTTATAAAAAATGAAAATACTACTATAAAATGGCCTGTTCAAATATGTTTCATGCATGAGAGGCTTGGTACACCCCACCACCAGGAAATGTCAACAGTGGGCAGTGTCATCACAGCTCAAGGAACATGTGTTGACTCATGAGTCAAGGTGCTGTACCAATACAAGCAACATAAAATATATGATCATCTGCAACCACAGGCTGTTCTTGAGAGAAAATCAATATGACACTAGTAGAATTATTTAGAAAGAAAAAGGACTCCCCTACCCTTACCCCTTTGATGGGTTTCGCAGTCAGAAAGCAAAAAAACAAGATCGCAACCTATCAGTGTTTTGTTTCTCTCAATTAGTTTTCACATTGAAGACAGTTATTATTTCCACATGTAAGATGCTGACAATTTGTTACAGTCATTTTTACAAAAACAAGACATACGAGAGTTGATGTTTGTATTATGGACATAATAACAGAATGTAATCCTAACCTTTTATTTTCCCTTCCAGATACCTTAAGAAGGAAAAAACTAAGAACTTTTGACTACAAGCAAAGAAAATTTCTTGACATTAACACAGGTACATTAATTCATAAATAATAAAATTAATAATTTTTTAATATTAGCAAAACCCAGTTCATTTATGGAGCACCTAATGTAATTTAATTAACATGGCTTAATATTTAAGTTTGCAAAGATTCCTACCAAAAAGTATATAAAATATCTTTGGTCACCATTTTTTTAAGAATTATTTTATTTACTTATCTAAATTTGTCCAGAGAGTGACAGAGAGAGGGAAAATGAGAATGCAAGTCACCAGGTTCAGGACTATGGCCATGTGGGAGTCCAGCACTTCAACTACCATGTCAGCTACTGGCCCCTCAAGTCAATATTTTTGATATAAATTATTCTTAGAAGTACCTGCATTAAACTAGATCTCCTAGACAATACAAATGTGAATCTGAGGAAGTTCAGAAAAAAATGTAAAGCAAAAACTTGGGCTATAAATAATTTTATTGTGTTTATTTACTTTCTAATCCATAGGATTAAGGTTCTGGGCTCACTGTTAAGAAGCGGCTACCACTGAGGGGGCAAAGAGTCTACAAAGGGAGGAAGAAGGAAATGTGGTACTTTCAGACCATTGTTCCTTTGCAGATATGATCTGGGGTTTTTTCATCTTGTTTAAAAATAAATAAATAAATAAATAAACAAACAAAAACCATTAAATTCTCTGAACACTAGATCACTCCAGACTTTCAGAATTTCTTCATCCATTTGACAAACTCTAAAAAGTAATACGTATTTTTGGTTTCTCTTTTTAGCTTATTGAATGAAGCGAATGAAGGAAGTGAATTCAGTTCTGCTTTGCAGAGAACTGCATCTCTTAATAAATTAAAGAGAAATGAAAACAAAAATATCATTGAATGCCAACAAGACAGACACTGTGGAGGGCAGACAGTGACACTCTCTTGCTGTTTTTTGAGAAGACCGATCTGGTTAGAATACTCATCTAAATCAAAGACATTGCAAAAGAAAAATGTCAGTCACTCATAAATTACCAGATCTCTTCCAGAAAGGGAAAGAATTCCCCATGCAGCATCCTAGCTTCTCTCCATCCTAATTTTCTCTATCCTAAATCCCTGGTCTCAAGGGGTGGGGCTCCAATTATATCCCTGGGTGATTATCCAACAACTTCTATTCTTTGTCCACAATTTTCAGAAGTTCTCCAGGATAAAGTCATCCTACTCAAGGTCACTTCTTATGCACCAGGTAAAATTTTCTAAAACTAAATTTTTGAAATTGCTTCTAATTTGAGTAATTCCCGCAGATATTGTTTTGCTTTGTAATTAATTTCTTGGCATTCTTAAATCATTACGATTCGAGTCTCTATTAAATCTATAAGAAACAGCAGTGGGGAAACATTAAATATCCATGTCTCCACAGCCTCTTTTTATAGCATAGTGCAGCCCATTTAATTAATTTTTCTCTTTCCTCATAAATTAGTTCTTCCTATGCCGTAATCAATCTTCTAGCCCATCTCTGAACACGCTCCAGTTTATCTTCATCTTTCTAACAAACAGTGTCACTAACTGAGTGAGAGGTACACAGTCTCAACTATGCTCTGCTTTTAAGGAAATCTCTAACAAGTCAAACTGGCAACAGAAGTGGCCACTGCAATGCACTGCTGATTAATGTTTACTTTCTGTCTACTATAACCCATGTCACATGCATCATGATGTGCTGTGTGTTCAATTACCCCAAATACTAATATTATGGAAAATGTTGGCATATACATAGTTTGCATTTTCTGAGATAATTTTTTATCTCCTTTCTTTCCAACATTTCTAACTCCTTAAAAATTTCATATAATTTTCATACCTTTATCACTTATTATTTTCAGACTACTCAAGTCACCCATACTTGTTGGGTTTATCTTTGTTTTAAATCAAAGGTCAATGTAATTTACAATGGACTATCCTGCCATCAACTTCAAACCTAACATGGCCAAGAATTACTTAAGATTTCTGGTCAAAAATGCACAGTTCTGAATCAGGTAGGCAGAAGGAGAGGTCGGGAGTTTACATCTGTAACAAGCTCTTTTGTGATGCATATGCCGCTGGTCCATGGACCACATTTGAGTAGGAAGATTTCAGACAGATTTTAATTCTTGAAACAGTATCCTACCATGCTGTCTGAATTTACACTAGGAAGAGTAGGTCGATTCCTTATTATAGTAAATTAAGTGTATTGTTTCAAATTTAAGAAAGTATAAACTAGCCTCCTGGTGCTTATCACAGGCTGTGTTCCTAGAAAAGGGAGGCAGAGTAAACCTGCCCCAATTACACCTTAGCCCAGGCTCTCTTGTGCCTAGTCCCAATTGTAAATGGAAGGACGTGGAGAAAGAAAAAAACACAAAAAACCAAAAACCAAAAAACAAAACTATATAAATAAGGAAACCTAAGGAATGTTTTAGTTCTGGGTATAGAACACTTATCTTAACATTATCTTAATTATGGGTAAGATAGCAGAATCTGTAAGTCAATGGCTGATTCCAATAATACAAAATAAGTTACGAACACTACACTTTTGCAATAATAACTATATATAAAAGTGTTATTGTACTGGTTTTACTTTCATAAATACGTAAAGGAGCAAAATCACTAAAACCACAGAAAACTCTTGTATCCAAATAATGAAAAAAAAAAATCAGGCTAACAGACAACTTAAAAATCACTTCTACACTGTGAACCTCACCAGAACTCTTTACCACCATGCTAGGATTAGGGACAAGATGGTGGAGGAGCTCCTGGAGACATTCAGGGGCACAGAGACTAAGCAGAGCACTGATTTGTCACTGGGCATCATGGAACCAAAGACCACAATTAGCTTTGCACTGTATGCACTTTGTTGCTTAGGCTTGAGAAAGGTTATTCCCGGAATTGGTGGCTTTTAAAATTATGGCACTATATTAAGAAATCATAACTCAGGGATAGCTGAAATCCTATTTTATTTTTTCTGGCATACTGATAACTTAATCACTCTAAAGCTAGCACTGAATGGGGAGGAAAATGCAGCATATAACCAAGGTCTTATCACCCACCTTCTTGGTGGCCAAGCCAGCAAGAATGGAAAAGAAATGAGTGACTCAGCTTGGAACAGCAAAATAGAGAGTGCTTAGGAAACATGGCCATTAGGCCGTGTTTCCTAAAGCATCTGAAACACAGTGGGCCCTCATTTCTACGAATAGAAGATCTTTCAAGCACCCTGCCTGACACATTTCATCTGACACTAATGGACAATTGTCCCTTCCTAAAAGCAGCCATAGCTATAGCTTAATCCAACTTCAACCCATCTCATTCTCAGATGATTGGTAAAATCAGTCCCTGGCCCATAGTGGGCTATAACAATTCGTTGCCTAAGTGGAAAATTTTTTACAACCATTCTCAGACTGTTTGTCATGTTTTTCTTCAACAAACAAATAGTATCAATTCTTTTATATATTTATTTACATATCACATACTTAAATTTCCTATTTTATTACCTTATGGCTTTCCTATAAGGCCTTTATAAGCTTGCAGAACTCCATACTATAGCATGCAATGAAATGAACTAAGATACACAAATCCCATTTTCTTCCTTTGCATGCTTGAAGCTGGCTATCTACAATCAAGATTCTTAACGATGCAATGAAAATTGTTGTCTTTTAAGCTCTCAAATAAATAATAAACTATTCAGGTAACAAAAAAAAATTAAGAGTTCATTTGGTTCAAACATCTTGATTTTATACATGGAAATCAAATCCAAACACGTTAAATCATTTAACCCAAGTGATGCAACTAATTATCAGATAAACTGGAATTAGAAACTCAGTTTTTAAATTATACAATGTATTTTT